GCAATATGTGAAGTTGTGATTAGAAATTTAACTACATAGAGGCGAATGGAAATAATGCGTTGTTATTACAATTTCACTTCGAATTCTCACTAAAGAGTTTTAAAATGAGAAACGGTCAACAAAGCTAAGGCGACGAGTGTTGATAACAACAACACCAAATGTTTTTGCATGATCAACGCGACGTAGGGTGATCAGTACAAGGCGATAGACTGCTAATATTTTGTAGGGAGAAAGTACGTATTAAAAAAGGAGTGGTATTGTGAGTCGACTAAAACGACTTAGATTGCACAAGAAATGAGAACGGGTGATGTGTGTTGCTATGGTGAGATTAAAAATAAGCAATGTAGAGCAAACAAAATAGCAACAACACGGGATTGTTCTACGACGATCAACAATGCTTTTTATGATCACTACACTAGAAACAAATGTGGACTGTATTTTTGGTGAATAGGTGAACGATTAAAAGCACACGCGTAGGGATAACTAGAAGCCGACCAATGACAATTTAATATCGTTAGAAATTGACAAACAAACAAAACAGACTAACACTCGCGGTAGCTCACTTTTAACGAAATCTGAGTTCACGTACCTGGTGTTAGTATGGTGATTTGTTGATGTGGTGATGAGTTTATTTCTCCGTGTAAAGAACAACAACAAGTAGGCGGCTGTCTTCAATTCGGCTCGATGCGACCAAATGTTTAGGAGGCGCGAGAGTTGAAAAAGGGAGATCGGCAACAACAAGGCAAGTTTCTATCCGGCTCGTACGGACCAAATGTTTAGGCGAGGGGTCTGCTCTACTCCTCGCCGTGGTGGTGTATGTGGTGATTGAGGGAAATGCGGGGTAATCAATGTAATTAACTCTTGGGAGCGGAGGTAAATCGACAACAAGAGAACTCCCAAGCAGTTAATGGTGTATGGTAAAGAAAAGAAAGTTCAAAAGAAATAAAAAACAAGAATGTATTCGTTAAATATTCTAAGTATCTTGGATTTATTGGTGATATTCTTTTCTATCAAGAACAAAATTACCTTTGTAATTTGGGGTGGCGACAGAGGCCGGTTAGTAATAACGCGTAGACGTTATTCGACTACTTAACGCTGTGGTTCATGCAATCACAGAGGATTGTGGTGATCGCTGAGGATCTGTTGTCGTTTACTACTACATTTACATATTCCAATGTGAGAAAAGTGTCGAGCAAGGAGAGCAAAACAGCAACAACCACCGCTCGGTGGCATCTGCACTCTATGGTCTCCGCTGAGGGAACTTGCAGAGGAGATGCCCGTGGTGTCAATCAGCAGACGTGATTGACTGAGCTCGGGAAGTTGAGTCAGAACGTATCAAACTTATACAGTCATACTAGGGTATTTTAATTACGAATTTGAAAGCTGAATGTTGCCAAAAGTAAAATTTTGAAACAGTTGATACATATGACTGCATGATCGTGACAAGAAATGTAATATATATATATATATATAACTTACTTAGCTGGCTTATGACAGAACGGTTGATCCATAAGCCGAGCTTAAAAAAAGTTTTCCGCGTCGGTCTTGTACGCATCTCATCCAATTTGAAAGACCATTTTCTGAGATGTCTTCTACTTGATCTTTTCATCGGATTCGTGGACTTCTCCTTCTGCGTAAACCATCACTTGGCTCGATATTTGGTAACAATTGTTACCAAATGTTGTCTGTTTACCCAAAAATTCAGTAAAAGAGCGTCAAGTGAGAGAGCAAGTTTGACAGTTCAAGAACAACAACCTTACTGTAGTTTACTGAAAGAGTTTTATGCAGTAAGAATTTGCAAACTCAGCCACCTTTCAATCAGCTGTTTTATGACCAAACACAGAAATTATTCAAAACATGTTAAAGTAGTCCGGTAATTGCATATAAAAGTAATCTAAGTATCAACCACCATTACTTGAGAAATAGCTTAATTTTAATTTAATCTAACTTTTTAATGTACGACAGTGAATATACAGTAGCTAGCCATTAAAATGCAACGACGAGTAAAATTATATTTAAGTGCGGTAATTTTAAAATAATTTTTATTTTGTAAAAAAACATTTATCTTTTTTACACGAAATTTGGAACGAACTTTAGTTTCAAATTCCGTACCTCCGTCAATAGAGGTATGTTTGGTCTTATATATGTAATTTATATGTAATTTAATTTATATGTAATTTCAAAACAAAGCTCAAAGCGATAATACTGAGAAAAGTAAATAGACAACATTTAGTAAGATTTAACAAAAAACAGCTGATTCAAGAAAAACATTTGATTTGACCGTAGTAGCTCTGTCTGTTTACTCGATATTTGGTAACAATTGTTACCAAATGTTACTAAATGTTGTCTGTTTACACAAAAATCCAGTAAAAGAGAGTCAAGTGAGAGAGCAAGTTTGACAGTTGAACAACAACAAAGTTGCTGGAGTTTACTGAACGAATTTTATTCAGTAAGATTTTGCAACTCAGCCATTTTCTGATCAGATGTTTTCTGACCAAACACAAAAATTATTCAAAACATTTTATTTAAGGGGACCCCCCCCCCCATTCTCGGTGTCAAAATTTTTGTTGATATAATGTGTCTGAATCTACAAATTGTTACTGGAAGTCATAAGGAATGTCTCTACAAAATTTCAAGTGAAAATCTCAAGAAGTCTTGAAGATATATCCGATTTATTGTATCAACATTAAGTGACGGCTAAAGGGCTTCTCAAACTTTAAACGCGTTTTACTCTAAACATTTTTTTGTGAATGGCGGGCACGATAACTCAAAAACCAATAATCCAATCGGTTCCAAATTTTGCAGCGTTTCTCTGAGAGTGTATAGCTCTCGTATGAACTAGGATAAAGCCAATCGGTGAAGATCTTCCTTATTTTTTAACATGGCTTTTGGTAAAAAATCGGCGATTTTCCAAAAAAAATTTTTCAAAGGTCCACCATTTTGTTAATTTTAGAGCGAAGTCAATAATCCTAGTTCATACGAGAGCCAGACATGTCCTCTTTCTAACACAGTTGGAATTTTCGGATTCCGATGTTCCAGTGAGGAGTTATCATGCCCGCCATCGAAAATGTGGACTTTTCTTTGCACCCAAAAAACAATAACAACAACAAATTTTTTTAAATTATTTTTCTTCCTTTTTAAATCCTCAAATATATATGTGCAAGTTACAAACCTTAACAAGCATTGGTATTCATTTACCAGCCCATTTAAAATCTTAAAAATAAAAAATCGAGAATAGGGGGGGTGGGTTCCCTTAATTTGCAAAGTTCAATTTGAAGTTAATTACAGAAAATGGAAGAAAATTCGTAAGTAATGCAAAGTTTCATTAAATTAGAAACTAATTCCTTATATATTTTTAGGCAAGTTCCAGATAGAGGGCAATGTATTGATGCAGGGAGCTTAAATGTTCCCGGGGAACATACCAGATCAATTTTTCTATTATTATTTATTTTATTTTTAATATTAAATGCAATACAAATAATTGTGTTCGTCCTTTGTTTGTTGTTTATTTTGGCGCAAATCAAATTTTTTCTTGAATCAGCTGTTTATTTGCTAAATCTTACTAAATGTTGTCTGTTTACTTTTTTTCAGTATTATCGCAAAAGAGAGTAAAAACGGCTTACTCTCTGAACTAGAACATACTGAATAAATGTTACTGGAAAAGTAACCAGACACACCTATTATTTTCTAAAAATTCTATGGGAGATCCACTTAGTAAAATGTGTATTGATTTCAATTCTGTGTATTCTAAAGTAGACTTTTGCATGAATATAGAACTAATAAAATCTAATACAATTGTATTTTTAAATGAATAATACAAAATAATAACAAACTGGCTGTTGAAGTAGATTTCTGTAGCTGGTTTTCTACCCCTTCTCATATTCCTTCATAATGCGGATTATGGTGTGTACGCGATCCCTCGGTCGGCAGGGGTGGGAAAATGAGACATGGGAACGTTGGACAAAATGCCAAATTTACCCCAATTTAGAATGCACCCAAAGATACTTTTTATAGTTTATTTTTTTCTATCAATCATCTAAAAACCTTATATTACATTGTAATTAACGACTTTTTAATAATACTGCCGTAAAATTTGAAAAGTTTTATATACGAAATACTTACAAAATGGAATGTAAAAATATTTTAGTTTTAAAAAAATAATTTTATCTAATTTTGTAAAAGTGCGTCTATAGTTATGAAACATCAATAAGTTTGAAAGTGCAGAATTAGGCGAAACCATAAAGAGTAAATGAATTATTTTTGTTGAATTAAATGTGCTTTTGATCATTTTATTGTGTATAATAACTTAATGGGTGGCTACTTCTCCATTCGTCTACGTTTTTGTATAGTCTCCATAAAATTTAATGTAGTAGGTTACGAAGTGGTGTTACATCTTCAACGGATAAAATAAATTGACTACAAAATTTGTTTATCTGCAAAAAATGATTGCATAATTATCTACTAATAAACTCGGCATCATTAGAATGTTGAGATTTGACTAACATGATAATTCAACTCGCTATAACCACCTACGTGCTACTTATATACATATATGTGCCACCTTTATACACTACGTGCTACTCACATATACGCTATACACTGTTAATTAGTTTCATCGACAACTGTCACTTAATGCTGTTGGCAAAAATTTTGTAACTTTATCATGCAGAGAAATAAAACAACAATTATATCTGTTTTTGTATCGATTTACTTCGATCACACAAATTTTATTTGTGACGTAAAAAACTAACAAAAACAGTGAAACTATTAGATGGGATTCAATTTCATTTACATTACTAAATCAATCTCATATCACTAAATTTAAATATACATTTTACAGACAGCAATTGTCACTGTCTTCAAATGGATAAATATTGAGAAATAAAAAAAATATAACATTGTGGGGGAGAGAATATCCAATAACATGGGATGGGGGGTTTGACTAACTTTTGATAGTATAATTAATATTTATGTATATATTACTCAAAGATTGGCATTAGCAGCACTTGTTAAGCTGTTAATTTACAATTTTGAGTCGGCTGGGCCGGCTAGTCAATCGGCATTGCAGACGGCCATAGCTTCATTCTTCTCTTCCAACAATTCCTTGCCAGTAATGGCCATTTTAGACTTAGCAAAGTCATCCAAAGACAAACCCTGAACGATCTTCCACTGTTTGTTCTTAATTTCCACAGGGAAGGAGTAGATAACATCCTTGGGAGCATCGTAGCTGCCATCAGAAATAACACCCATGGAAACATATTGGCCGGGGGCAGTACCGTTCCACCAATCATGCATATGGTCACAAGCGGCCTTAGCAGCAGACATTGCCGAAGACATCTTGCGTGCAGCAATAACGGCAGCACCACGCTTCTGGACTGTTTCAACGAAAGAACTCTTTAGGAATTCGGCATCTCCAACAGCTTCTACGGCGGACTTCTCAGTATTATCAACAGTAACTACGGCGTGACTGGCATCTGGGAATTGGGTAGAGGAATGGTTACCCCAGATAATTACATTTTTAACCTGGCTGATGGGAACCTTGGCTTTAGCGGCAATTTGTGCAGTAGCGCGATTTTGATCCAAACGGGTCATGGCACTAAAGTTTTCACGTGGAATTGAGGGGGCATAGAAGGAACAGACGACAGCATTAGTGTTAGCTGGATTGCCAACAACCAAGACTTTGACATCCTTGCGGGCATATTTGTCTAATGCTTGACCTTGTGCTTTGAAGATTTTCACGTTGGCAGACAACAAATCTTTACGTTCCATACCTTCCTTACGCGGCATAGCTCCAACTAGGAAAGCGGCAGATACATCCTTAAATGCTACAGCAGGATCGGTGGTTGGAACAACCTCACGAAGCAATGGCAAGGCACAATCGGCCAATTCCATAACAACACCTTCTAAAACACCAACCATTGGTGGAATGTCCAATAAATGCAAAATCAAGGGTTGGTCTTTGCCAAATACTTCTCCGCGAGCGATCATATAGAGGAGCGAGTAGGCGATTTGGCCGGCAGCACCGGTGACAACAACACGAATTGGTTCAGCCTATAACGACAAGATTGTAATTAAATGAGATTTTTACTTGCAATTTTATATAAATCAAATTAAAATTAAATAAAATTTAAGCGAAACCCCGGAAATCTTTTTGATTTATAATCGTGTTCTGGAAAATTAGTTTGGTACTTTTTCATTATTAACGGGTCGGTTTCACCTCTCCATTCAAACATTTGAGGGAAAGGTTCGTATAGCGCCCAATTTGGAATTTGTGGTTTCCAGTGGGTTGGAAAGAAGTACCACAAAAAAGTTTTCAGTTTTCTACGGTACACTTTTTAATATTTTCAAGTTTTTAGGCACTTTGTAATTTATTAGTGTTTTTTTTCGCGATTGCACTTTTGTTTAGCGTACATTCAATAATAATAGTTATTGACATGACGTACAGTTGTTTATTGATAACTTTTTTCAATTTATTTGATTCTAGTTTAAAATATAAAATAGTCGTAAGACGTGAATAGTTACATATATGTTACACATATGAAAATGTTGGAAATTGCTAATAATTCTATGAAGAAAGATTTATTGCTTCAAACTTCCCCAGCGGGCAAATTGAGTAAATTAAATACAGGACCATAATTACAGAATGTAGTCTCATTTGAGAATTTTATGATGATTTAATTTGGAACTCATCTATCAATTTTAAATAATATGAAAAATAAATTCCATAAACTTGTATGCATGTCGATGGGCATATTTTCAATATATTAAACAAAATATATTTTCTAAAGCTGAACATTGCTCTCAAGATTTAACCATGGTTGTGACATATTATAAGTGTTAAAAGCAGGAAACTTCAAAATATTTATAAATGTTAATTACTTTGCAATTTTTACCACTGAACACATGATAGGCATACATTTTGAAGGAAGATATTTTCATTAAAATTTTGAAAGCTGAATTGTGTCAAAGGCAGATTTATGAAAAAAATGGAATCATATGACTGCATGAGACTACCTTGTATAATTATGCCATGATAAGCAAGGACACATTGCAAAATATATTTTCCTTTTTCGATCGGGGCGGTTGTGGAGATCCAAAATAATTTATGTTGACGTAATCTGGTTGTGGAGATCCAAAATAATTTATGTTGACGTAATCTGTATCTCAACACCATAAAAATTATGAGTATCGTCGCTTTAAGTTGAAGTCCATGAAAACATAAGGTCCCAATGGAACTTTAGATGCACATAGTACTGGAAGTATTGACTATTCAGTGCCCTAGGAATACATGTGGTACAAAATTTTAAATGATTAGCGACCGGACAATAAACATGGCCTTTTTCGAATGACAACAATTGAAAAATATCTTTGTAAATACACAGAAGAAGATATTCAGCTATTTCAGTTCGTCTATGAGAAGACCTTCAGCTCTTCTATGAATGCCTTCAGATATTTGAGAATATCTTAGTTTAGAATAGTTTATTAAAAAATATTTTTGTTGCGTGTTTTTATTAAAAATTATTGGTTTCGTCTACGGGCAGAATTTTGTTTTGAAGAACAAGTCCATTCTTTCCTACTTCTAAATTTGAGGATTCCCTCTTGTCATTATTCCAGGCGCGTAATTTTTCCAATATTAAAAAATTTGTTAACAAATTGGTTTTCAAGTATTAATTTTTTTGTAATTGATAGAGATTTATGTATGTATGTTTGTTTATTATTTACACCAAGGTGTGTCAAAACTATTTTGACAATGAAGGGTTGTCAAAAAAAAAAAATTAGTCATGAGGTTACCTTATTTGTTGTATCATGACGAGGACATTCAAGGAAGAACAATTTCGAATATAAAAGCATATGGTCTGTTCCCGTACTGCAAGAATCTACTACTTTTTACTACGATAACGAATTTTCCTTTATGATATCGAAGAAAATAGTAAAATCTAGTAGATTCTTGCTGTACGGGAACAGACCAATAATTTGTCAAAAATTTTAAATTTGCATAATCCCTACTATGGCAAAATGTTTTGCACGAACACACTACTCAAATAAGCCGAATCCATTTCATCAAGCGAACTCTTCAATATTGGAAATAAGGATATGTATATAAATAAATAAATATATATATATATATAAACATTAAAACTTTTTTTTTTGGTTTTTAAGCAACTTATCGATCGATCTATTTTTTCTGCAACATAGTCTATTTTACCCCTTATTCAAATATTTATTTTAAGAAATATTTATTATCTTGTAATTCCAGTAATATCTGGTATGTTTGGAATTCGTTGCCAATTTAAAATGATTTTTTTAATTTTTGCTAAACAAAAATCTATGTTCGCAAATTGATTTTACTGATTTTATTTTAAAAAATAATTGCTTTTTCACCTATTTGATAAACATTTGGTCTGTTCCCGTACAGCAAGAATCTACTCGGTTTTACTATTTTCTTCGATATCATAAAGGAAAAAATGGTTATCGTAGTAAAAGGTAGTAGATTCTTGCAGTACGGGAACAGACCAATTTTGTGTATTTTAGGATAACTTTTTAACAAATTGAAATTTTTATCGATACCTTTGTCAAAGCAAGCTATGATTATTTCAAGGCCTATATAAGGTCGGTCAGTAAGCACAGGTGAGTATAAAGTTTGCTGTCAAATCATATTTTGAAACCTATACATACATACAAAACTATGTTAGACGTCAAAACGAAAATATTAATATTTTGCCAAAATCCAATTCAATTTTAATTTATATCGTCTTTGTGAAGTACATTTGGACTATTTCAAGATTTTAAAGAACATTTTCAAGTGAATTATCTTAATAAATTATAAATTTTGTTGTGTTTTGGTTGTGTTTTTATTTCAAGGCGAAATAATTAGTTTTCGCCTCGGCAAAAAAAAATTGACGTCAAACTTAAGTTTTCTCTATGAATTCGCTTACTGGCCGACCTCATATAGGCCTTGGATTATTTTTTGAATTCAATATATTTTGACAAAAAATTTAGATATCAGCTGCTCTTACTGGGTGACCTAATACATAGGCATGTAGGCATATTCTGCAACGTTTAACAACATTCGATATTGTTTAAATTTCTTTTGATATTGTAAAAACAATAAAACAAACAAACGAATAAAATAATCGAATGTTGTTAAAAAGTTACAAAGTTAATAAGCCTACTTGCATTATGCATCAAAATATAGTTTTTTTGTTTTTGAAAAAAATCCAGTCATTGCCCAAACAGGTCCCATTGGCTGTCGCTGTGTAAAATTTGTCACACACAAAATTATTAAAGAGAAGCTTTCAAAATTTTTTTTAATTATCATTTATTCTCTATTGAAAGTTCATTGTTTCGTACACATAACGCAAAACTGATTATTTTAGTTCGGCATAAGTCGAAATACGTGATGGCGGTAGGCAAAACATAAGCAAATGTATTTCTATATCGGAAAATATATCATCAACAACCAACCATATCGCATTTTAGTTAAACAAAAAATATATATTTAATCGATTTTCTGCTATTTATAATAATAAATTTTTACTATTGGACGTTTCCATCAGTGTTGTATTGAAGAAGATATAAAAACAATATTATTTATTAAAATATTACAATTATAAAACATGGTGCCGACTTTGGGAACCTGTTATCCAATTCTCGGCATGGCTAAATAAGGCATTTCAGAGGTTAAACAAATTTTAAATTAAACAATTAGACTATAAGAAACCCTTAAAAATTTTTGTTCCTAAGGGCGGCATCGATAAAAATATTATAATTTTTTTTTTACTTTTTTTCGAACGTTCCCACGCCTCACTTTCCCATCCCTGCCGACCGAGGGGGCGACCTCCCCTTTCGTAGGGATCGCGTACACACCATAATCCGCATCATGGTGGAATGTGAGAAGGGAATAGAAAACCAGCTACAGAATCTACTCCAACAGCCAGTTTATTATTAAGTTGCACTACTCATTTAAAAATACAATTATATTAGATTTTATAAATTAAACATTCTTGCTAAAATCTACATTAGAGTACACAGAATTAAAATCAATACAAATTTTACTGAATGGATCTCCCATAGAATAATTTGTGCGATGAAAATCTACATGTAATAGTTGATAATATCTATTACAAATATTTTGTAATGATTTTTAATTCTAACGTATTCTCCTCTATGTTCTTTACAATTACGAAGAAGATCCTTGTAAAAAATTTAACTTTAATATAATAACAAGTCTTGAAATTGACATGCCCACTAATTTTTTCTTAAGAAACATGAATTATCGCTAGAGTTGACAAACCTAATTAACCAAATGCCAAATTTTGACAGAATAAATATAGTTAGCTCCATTAAATTTTATACAGGGATATGTTGCAGTGCTATTGAAGATTATTAAAGGTATTTTTCATATTTAGTTATAGGATTTTTTAGTTATTTGAAGTTATATAAACAGATGCCAACTATTGGTACATGCCGGAATTAGGTGCGTTTACCATATATATATATATATATATACTACGCAGGTAGTAAATATATATTATTTTGAATTACAGAGCTGATTATGGGGACGAAACATACCAAAAGGAAAATCTAAAAAATAAACTTGTAAGTCAAGTAATGCAATTTTTCGTGTGGCAATATACCCCCTACCTCTCTAAAAGAGAGTTCGCCAAGTATAATAGAAGGTAGCAGCAAGTGTTGTTCTACAACAAACGATACAACACCCACATGGAAATTTGTTCACGTAAGTTATACTAGCGTCAACATCATTTGACAGAAGAATGTAAACAAACAAACAAATTATCAACAAATTATATTTATTTTGAAAATGTAATATTTTTCGAATCCTCAAAATAAAATTGAAAACATCTTTCCTAAAATTGAGCCATTGCCACTTATATGTGTAACATATATGAAAATGCAGGGAATTGCGAGTTATTCCATGAAGAAGGATTTGCTTCCTCAAACTTTCCCAGCAGGCAGATTATGTAAATTGAATACGGGAGCACATTTAATAAAGATCAATTTCAAATTGTATGCGTTCCCAAATTTCCTGT